GTCTGCAAACTTCATCCAAATCCAACCGAAAATTCATGTCGAAACAGTTCTAGAATTTCAAGGCACAAATAATTCTTCAAACTACGCAACTGTATAAAACAGCATACCTGATACTTCTCATACATGTAAGATGTAACTAAACAGGTTGTAGAAGATGAGTGCTATGGCTCAACAACAGTCACCTGTTGCCACTCCCCATCTACAGCTTCTTTCCACAATGTCACGTTGTTGTTCCCATCGGCCACGGCCAGTATGTTTCCGGTCAATGACCATGAAACCCTCCATACAGGGGTACTGAAATCGTGCAATACTTTACCTTCCCACTGGTCCCCTTCCTTGGCAACCGTCCATATAATTACTTTCCCGTCCTGGGACGCGCTTGCGATGGTGGATTTCGGTAGCCCCAAGTTGGGTGCCCAAGCGACGTCCCGTACCCAATCGGTATGCATTTGAAGAGCTGGAAAGCAGTCCATCTTCCAGATTCCGTTGTAGAGCTTCCACACCTTTACGGTGCTATCACATCCACCGGAGCAAAGTTTCTGAACCGGGTCCAACAAGCCAGATCCAACAAGGGCGCCGGGTGCTGTCGATGGAGCCCATGAAACAGATGTTACACCGATCGGGTGAGCCTGATCGATCCTTGATACATCCCAGCCTCCGTCTGCCCTTGCGGTGAAAACCGATATATTTCCATCAGAAGAACCACATGCCAAACAAAGTCCAATTTCATGAGGAGCCCAAGCAATCGAATTAACAGATGACTTGTGGTCATCAAACACATGAGCCTGACTCCATTCATTCTGATTGCCTTCCTTCCAAATAATAACCCGTCCATCATAACAACAAGAAGCAAGTAAAGAGCCAAACTTTGGATGAGCCCAAGCCACCTGCCATACTGGTCCCTGGTGACCAGTCAGAGTCGCTAAATGCTGATGCGTATTGTTGCTCACCCCAATTATCTTAATCACGCTGTCTGATGAGGCGGTAGCAATGCGCTTACCATAATAATCCATGACCACATCATGTACTGTGTCCTGGTGGCCTGTTTCAATCTTCTGCGAAGGCATTTCTCCTTTTCCTGTGAATTATTCAGTTTCAGTATTGAAAAACAGGGCTGGGGTTTTCAATAAAAATTCAGAAATTCCATTAAAGAAAATGAACAAAATACTAATCAAAAGCAAATACAAAAGAAAAGGAAATCAAGCATAAAGAATAACAAAATCTAAGGAACTACAGCACAAATGACCAGGAAACTTAGGTAAAGTCTCTGTTTCACTAAGCTTTTCTTTCTTTTGGGCCCTGGGTTTCATTTGTTGCCCTAGGTTTGTCATATGTCTTTATAATAAGGATAAAAAGGAGGCAGTCCCATGCAATGAAGATCCATTTCCAGTGGATTCTTACTCTCAGGCCGTTTTTTTATGATACTAATTCTATCAATATTCGACCTTGTAAATATACTCATTTCATTAAGGGTAATGTTAGGATAATCATGTAAACTGGTCAATACAGTACATATAGGAATGCAAGGCTTTTAGATTAGTTCAGTTGAGCATCATGAAACAGAACATCTTCCTTGAATCTTCTTCTTCTTCTTCTTCACTTCTTTCCCCTTTTTATCCCAAAATCCTCAGCCCAAATATTTCGGTACACATCATCATCAAGGCCAGTAAATCACCTATTTCATCTCCATTGCTCTAGCTCTTATGTCCAAAGGTTTGTGAGGCATATTCATTGAAATTTATTGACATGCAAAGGTTTTTCAGTCCTAGATTTCATCGTATACCCAAGGTATCAAAATTAACCATGCCAATTGTTTAATTCCAGACTACAAAATTCATATCATCTTCAGAATTCCCTAATTTGGAGCTCAAATCAATACTCAATACACGCTGGTTATCAGCGCTTCGATGCAAATCCATAGGTAATCCAAAAAATAAGACAGATCTATGCCAAATGTGAGTACAGTAATAGGAAACGACGCCGAGATCTTACCGGTAATCGGCGGAAGGAACAGAGGCTTCGATCAGATCGGAACTGCATGATGTTTAAAACAAATAAACCATAATTAGATCTAATAACATTGAAATACAAATGCTAACGAAATTTAAAGAAAAAAAAAGACGAGAGAAATTAAATTAATTCACCTTTAAAGAGGGATTTGATCTATCAATGAATTCGAAGATTTTTTACTTGGGATGGAAATGACAAAGGCCTAGGGCTCTAATCGATCGCTACGCTTTATGTGGTCTAGCAAGAAGTGAAATGACGAGAAAGGGCTCCAGTTAATAACGAATAACGATTAACATGCTGCTGTGCTGTTTTCTAGGGTGAACTACTCATTTAGTACATAAACTATACTTTTTATCTGTTTTAGTATTTAAACTTTTAATTTTTTTAAAATCATACCTAACGTTTAGTTTTTATTTCATTTTAATACCGTTAAAATTTAACGTTAAATTTTGAAAAAAATATATAAGTTTAGGTACTAAAACATACTAAAACTAATAGTTTAGGTACTAAACGCATGAAAATTTTAATTGTAGGGTATTAAAATGAAATAAAAACTAAATGTTAGGCATGATTTTGAAAAAAATGAAAGTTTAAATACTAAAATGAACCAAAACTGATAGGTTAGGTACTAAATATATAATTTATCCTTTTTATATATAAATCTGGGCGTATACAAGATAAAGTTTGTTTAAAGACTTTAATCATTTGACATGTAACACTTATATCTTTAGTATATGTAGTGCTTGAATCTGAAAAGTTCTTCACAACTGAGATTGTTTAATTCGTACGCTCTAAATTATTAATTAGATGGAATGGATGACGTCAAATTTAAAGAAATTTAAATTGAATTTCTCCCTTCCATTCTTTTTCTAAAAAAACAATAATAGGCCATCATATTATTTTTATATACTATCGATTAATAACTTAATTTTAGAAAATTAATTTGATTATATGGCAAGTTATATAAAACAAGAAAAATGATAATTATTACAAGTTAATTGTATCATATATCTTCAAATTATAACACTCATTTTGAATTAGTCCCGAATTAATCCTTAAACTTTTGAAGATTCTAATTATGTTCTCAAATTATGACTTAGTCCTTAGATTTTTGAACATTTTAATTTTATTCCTAAACTATGACGTTCTTTCTAAATTAGTCCATAAACTTTTGAATATTCTAATTTCATTCCCAAAATTCATCCAAATATGTAATTAGTTTAAACCATAGTTTAACCTAAATTTTGTTTCTTTCCTCAAACATATCATAATATAACTTGGCCTAAAGATTTTATTAACAAGGGATACGATTAATATATATGTATAATTTGGGATGAAACTGAAATGTTCAAAAAGTCTAGGGACCAATTTAAAATGAAGGTCATAGGCTGGGGTGAAATTAAAATATTCAAAAGTTTGAGGACTAGTTTATAATGATAGTCATAGTTTAGGGATAAAATAAAAATATTTAAAAATTTAGGATCAATTTAAAATGAAAGTTATACTTTTAAAACATATGATGCAATTAACTCAATTAATACTAAAAGGTGATTAATAGATTTGTTTTGATGGAATAATATAATGGAAAAAATATAAATATTATTATTTTTTGAGTCTTCTAATAGTATAATTGGATAATTTTAAAATTTAAAAGTAATAAATTTGGTGAGATGAAATAATATATCAAATCTTTTTTCTCTTATTATTTTTTTATTAAATTTCTCTCTTATTTTGTTTGCTTAAGTGATATTTTTGGAAAATAATTTTGAAGTCTTTTTATATTGATGTGATATTTTTTTTTAAATTTTTACATTATTTTTATCTCGTTAGTAGTTTAATTTTTATTAAAAATATATAATATTAAATTATTTTTTTATATTTAATTAAATAATCATTTTGGTGTTTATCTTTTACCCTCAACATTTTTTTTTGAGTAAAATACACAAATAATCTTCTAATTATATAACATTACTTTGTTGAGTGTCCAAACTATTAAAAGTTACAAAATGATCTCGATTATACGGTGTTGCTTTGCTAAGTCCCCAATTATTAAAAGTTACAAAATGATCACCTGACTATTCATATGTTCTAAACTCGACATTTTTTATTGAAAAATGATAGTCGTCTAAGTTGAACGTTAATATACTGGCTGTAATATGATAGTCGTTTGAGATTCTAGGATAAAATTTTATCATATTATAGTCAATAAATTAACGTTCCGCTTAGACTACCTTCAATTTTTTAACAAAAAAAAAGATGAGTTTCGAAATACTTGAAAGAGACACAACTCAATGGATCGAAAGACTTTAAAGAGATTCTAACAATGAAATTCTTGACAGACTTCAAATAAGTTTCGATGGATTGGACGAAAGAGAGAAGAACATATTTCTAGATATGGCATGCTTCTTCAATGGGAAGGAGAAAGATTTTGTAATGAAAGTATTAGATGGATGTGGGTTTTTCCCAAATATCGGAATCGGCGTTCTTATTAAGAAACCTCTCATAAAAGTCGATAGAGACAACAAATTATAAGCGAGCAAGAAATTATAAGTGAAAAAATGTCAGTTTACCAAGAACTAAGAGTAAATCCTTTGAGCATGAAGTTTAAGGGAAGGGTAAAAGCTTTGCAACCAGCCACCGGAGAAGGTAAAGATAAGTACGTAAACATCAAAATTACATGGCATTTTAATGTGTTCAAAAGTATGAGAAACTTATTGTGCAATCATTTTCTTTTACAAACTAATCGAAAGCTTCAAAAAGAACCACAACTTTTCACCCCCATCATTTTGGAAGGCCACCCACAGTCAACCTTTAGTATAAATGAAGAAGAAGAAGAGGGGGAGGAGGTTCACGGGTGACTAAAATACAAGCACATTAAAGTATGGGGACTATTTATATATTTTATCCTAAATAAATATGTTAGGTGATATTTTTAATAGTTTAACAATCAAACTTAACGATTGCACCTCCATCTAATAATTTCTCCAACTTGACACTCGGGACCCTACGAAGAATAGTCAGCAAAGTCCAAATCTACAGTTTCTACTCTCACCTTCTCCGATTCTTCCTGGAAGAAAACCCATAAGTTCCACCATTACAAGCTTTTCAGATATTGCTTAGAAACCTCTGTTTTGTTTCCTGCCTAATTTTATCTGTTTTTCTCCTTACTGATGCTCATATACTTCCGTTGTTTCTAGTTTCTTTTCGGATATTGGGCGATCTATTCTCTGATATCTTTTAACACCAGATTGAAAATTTTCTCTTATTTCCTCATGTCGTTGTTACCTTCATCTACCTCGTCTATTTCTAGACAGAAATATGATGTTTTCTTGAGTTTCAGAGGTGAAGATACCCGCAAGAACTTTACGGATCATCTTTATGATGCTCTAAAACGGAGAGGCATCGTCACTTTCAGGGATGATCCGAAGCTGGAGGCCGGCGAAGAGATCGCACCGGAACTCTTTAAAGCCATCCAACAATCATGGTGCTCGGTAATCGTTTTTTCTGAAACCTATGCTTTTTCAGGTTGGTGCTTGGAGGAGCTTGCTGAGATTGTTAAACAAAAAAACGACAAGGGCCATAAAGTATTCCCAATTTTCTACAACGTCGATCCATCTGATTTAAGAAAACAAAAGGAAGAAGTTGAAAAAGCCTTTGCCATACACGAAGAGAGGTACAAGGAAGATAAAGAAAAGATCCGAAAGTGGCGAAATGCTTTGACTCAAGCGGCTAACATCAAGGGATGGCATTCAAAGGACAGGTGTCATTCTCTTCTTCTCTATTTTCCAGTTTTAAGTTTAATGATTGCAAAGTGTATTTTTATTAATTAAAAACTAAATATTTATGTCTTTGTAGGAATGAATCAGAATTCATTGAAGATATTGTTAAAAAAATATCAGCAAAATTATGTCAAACATATCCGGTTGTTTATGATGAGCAGATGGTCGGAATTAATTCACGCTTAGAGGAGCTGTATTCAAAAATAGACATTGGGGAACATGATGTCCGCATTATAGGAATTTGCGGAATGGGCGGCATCGGTAAAACAACTCTTGCAAGAGTTGTTTACAACCAAATGTCATCTCGTTTTGAAGGCAAAAGCTTTCTTGCTGATGTTCGAGAAGTTTCAAAGAAATGTGGACTTGTTTCTTTACAGAAGCAACTTCTTTCTCAGACCTTGTTTGAAGGATGTCTTGATATTTTCGACGTTGAAGAAGGAAAAGCCATCATCAGTCATAGATTGTCTCACAAGAAGGTTCTTGTTGTTATTGATGATGCTGATAACATGCAACACTTGAAATGCTTGGTTGGAAGGCGTGATTGGTTTGGCTCAGGGAGCAGAATCATTGTAACAACTAGAGACGAGCATTTGCTCCGATCTCACCGAGTTGATGATGTGTATAAGCCTACAACATTGAACTCCAATGATGCCCTCCGGCTTTTCAATTCGAAAGCTTTCAATAGTGAGACAGTGTTGGGAGATGTTTTTGTTGAGCTTTCTGAACAAGTTGTACGTTATGCTGGTGGTCTTCCCTTGGCGCTTGAAGTTTTGGGTTCATTTTTGTGTGGTAGAGACGCAACTCAATGGAGAAGTGCAATCGAAAGACTTGAAAGAGATTCTAACAATGAAATTCTTGACAGACTTCAAATAAGTTTCGATGGATTGGACGAAAGAGAGAAGAACATATTTCTAGATATGGCATGCTTCTTCAATAGGGAGGAGAAAGATTTTGTAATGAAAGTATTAGATGGTTGTGGGTTTTTTCCGGATATCGGAATCGATGTTCTTATTAAGAAATCTCTCATAAAAGTCGATAGAGACAACAAAAATTTGTGGATGCATGACTTGCTACGAGAAATGGGAAGAAAAATTGTTAGGAACAAATCTATTGATGAACCTGGTAAACGTTGTAGGTTGTGGGATGAAAGTGATGTGTATCATGTACTAATCAAAAACACTGTAAGTATCCCACTTCAGTTGGAAAATATTTTACTTTGTTCAAAATGCTTTACTTACTACATAGTTCGACTGGAAAATTGTGATAATGTTAAGCACAAATGTATCTTTTCTCAAGTTTTATTTTGTGTTTTCTCATATCTCACTCTTCATTACTTTTAGGCCACAGAGATGATTGAAGGCATGATCATCGACAACAACAGGTATGAAAACATATACCCATATGTATATGATTAATATTGTCATTGTTTTCATGTACTTGGTCAGTCCTTCGAAGCTCATTTTTGTTTAGTTCATGGTTATTAGGGAATCAAACGTGATGCTCCATTTGAACGCCGATGCTTTCTCAAAAATGAAAAAACTGAGATTGCTCAAAGTCTTTAGTATTCAAAGTTGTGATAATCTCAAGTATCTTTCTGATGAGCTACGGCTTTTATATTGGCAAGAATGCCCATTGAAATCTTTGCCTTCATGCTTTGAACCAGACAACCTTGTTGCACTCCTCTTATCTTACAGTCACATTCAACAACTATGGAAGGGAACCAGAGTAAGAATTACTTATAAACATGTTAAGATGACTGATTAAAATGAGATTTCTTACATTTTCTGCCTAATTTATTATTATTTTCAACAGCCCCTGTATAAGTTGAAAATGATCAATCTGAAAGGGTCCCGAAACCTGATCGAGACACCAGACTTCACGTTGGCCCCAAATCTTGAAGTTTTGGTTTTGGAAGGTTGTACGAGATTAGTAGGTGTTCATCCATCTGTTGGAGTTCATAAGAGGCTTAAGCTTTTGAGCTTAAGAGGCTGCAAAAGTCTTAGGAATCTTCCGGCCAAAATTGGAATGGAATCTCTTCAATCATTAATTCTATCGGGCTGCTCAAATCTTCAAAGGTTTCCAGATATTGATGGGAAAATGGAACGTTTAAAAACTCTTGATCTCTCTGGTTGTTATAAAGTTGGAAATTTGCCCGGGAATTTGCAGCAAGCAGAATTTTTGGAGGAGCTTGACTTAAGCGAAACAGCCATAACAGAACCACCAATCTTCATCTTCCGGTTTAAACACCTTAAGGATTTGTCTCTCAGTGGATGCAGGGGACGATCATCTAAGTTGCAACCAAATCTGCCTCCTCTTTTTTATGTATTCCAAAGAGGGAGGACAAATTCCATTTCTCTGATGTTACCTTTGTTGTCAAGTTTAAGTTCTTTGAAAGTGCTGAAACTAGCAGATTGCGACCTCCGTGAAGGTGATATTCCTAGTGGAATTTCTTGTCTATCCTCTTTGAAAAGACTTGATCTTAGTGGTAACAATTTCGTCAGTATACCCGCGTGTCTTACTCGACTTTCCAGGCTTTATGATCTTGAATTGTCAAATTGCGGCTTGTGCGATCTTTCTGAAGGAGATATCCTTGGTCTATCCTCTTTGAAATATCTTAGTCTCAGGGGTAACAATTTCGTCAGTATACCTGCGTCTCTGACTCGGCTTTCCAGGCTTGATTATCTTAGATTGTCAAATTGCAGGGAGCTTAAATCGTTGCCTGAGCTTCTAACAAGTATAAGCAGTTTGTGGATTGATGGTTGCACTTCTTTGGAACTAGTTGCATATCCATCAAAAGTATGCAAATCAATTTCAAGTGATGAAGTAGTGTTTAGTGGTATTCACTGTTACAGATTGGCCGAGAAGATCAATGCATTAACATTGCTGAAAAAAAATCTTAAGGTCGACTGATCTCTCTTTTACCCTTACAAAATCTCATACTTAAGAATGTATGGTTTTACTTACCAATGATGGCTGTTTTATTTCCCAGGTATTTGCAAACGCAAGAAAAATGTTTGATGTTTGTATTCCTGGAAGTGAAATCCCAGAATGGTTCAGCCATCAGAGAGTTGAGTCCTCAATCAAGATACCACTGCCTCCCAGTATTTGGAACGATAGTCGATGGATGGGAGTTGCTTTCTGCTGTATTTTTACCAATGATGATGCTTCCAGGGATGAGAGTCTTATGTGTGAAGCTGCTATCCATCATATGAATTCTGGAAAAGTTAGTTGTGATGGATCTGTTTTTCAGGGTAGAAATACTCGAATTGTCGATTGTAGTGGTTGGGGTATATGTGAACCATTTTACCCACCCATAATGAAGGACCACCGTTTTCTTCGTTACTGGTCACGTGACACACTGTATCCAGTTTCCTCGGACGACAACTGTGGTGAAAGTGAAACCGAGAATTTTTCAACATCTGATTGCTCAAATCACGAATGGGATGAACTTGAACTGTCAATCACAGACGATATTCCTGGCAACTGTGTTAAGGTGAAGAAATGTGGGGTTCGAATAGTGTACGAAAAAGATTTAGAAGATGTCCAACCCGTGAAAGAGCAATGTAGCAGTCAAAGTTCTGTAGAAATTGAAGATTTCGACGAAGATTTCTCTGAATAACTTGTCAAGCCAAAACTTATGTCCATGAAGGGACATCAAGAGATGACATTTAAACAACAGGTATTTCTTTGTTTCGCTAAGGAGGTTCATCGCTGCTGATGTTTTGTGATTTTGAGTAGTTTGTTCGATTTTGATTTTTCGTGTGGTGGTGAAGGTGATGATTCTGTTTAGCTGTGGAGAAGATTGTGAGTGTCGGGGGATGATGATGAAAGGTGTATAATCTTTTGGGACTAAATTAATAAAGTTTGTAAATTTAAAGGATGATTTTGTTGAATTATCTAGAATTGAAGGATAAAAATTATTGTTATTATAATTAAAAAAAGGACACGATACCTTTTCTATTAGTAGTCAAAGCTGATTTCACGGTATTAACAGCCGCGGGTTTAATTGACACTGGTAACTTAATTGATAGAATTATTTGTTTGGTGGTTAGAAAAGACTCAATCATATAGTTTGATCATTCAATTATAACTTTTTTTAATTCAATCACTAACTTTTTGAATTTTGTTATTTCAAGTCATTAAATTGTTAATTCTTTTGTACATCTTTGCAATTTTTTTCTGAAACTTGTCTCCCTCAAAGTTTCAAACCCAAAATTTTAAACTCTTTCTATTTTAACTGTGTTAGAGTATTTTTTTTACTTCAGAATGTCTTTAAAAAGAACATAATTCGAAAGTTCAACAAAAACAAATTAGAAATTTTTTTATAGTTGAGTGACTAAAACATAAACACATTGCAAATTGGGTGCTAAAAAAGATAATTTACCTATAATTATTTTGCCTAGCATGAACATTAAGTTTTAGTAATTTAGAAAGCTTCAAGACATTGAGCAAGTAAGGTGGGATTTAAATTGCGGATACGGTTGCGTTGTGTTTATTGCGGTTGCGGATATAACGGATGTTATTGCAGTTATTGCGAGTATCGCGGTCATGTATTTTTTTCCAAATGAGTTGATTAAAAAAAAACTGATTTAAAAAAAAATTAAAATAGCATAATAGTGGTCCGCTATTGTCATGATTGCCCGCTATCCGTTAAATTGCGACTGCGGCCCGCCGTTATTAGTGTGACCGCGTCACACCACTAATTTCCACGATATCGATCTCGGATGCCGCCACGCTCGTAATACAGCGGCCGCTATCCGACTGCTATTTGAATCCCTAGTGACTTGGCATAAGGTTATATGGTTTAATTTCCCTTATTGTTTTTTTAATACATTAAGAAAAATGAAAATATTGAGTAAAATATAAAAGAAAAGAACAAACAAGTGGGTTTTCATTAACATCTATGCTAATAAAAACAATTAAAAACAGTTTACAATTAATTTGGAAGATTGGTATCACCATATACAACTACTGGGAATTCTAACTCATAAGCCAGGATTCTTCAGCCTCGGCCTGCAAATTACATTTTATGTATATACTAATTATAATCATCCAAAACAAAACATACTCTCTTTATTAGTTTCTTGACCGGGAAGCAAACGTCGTAGCCTGCTTCACGTTACGGGCTATGTCATCTTAGCCTGTTCATCAAAACATCATCGATATCGGAATCAAAATCATAGTCATATGCAAATATGTATGTGTATGTGCCTTTTACCTTTTTCAGATACTTCTTATGGAGCTTGATTGCCTCATTACAAGCTTTCTTGGCATCCAAGCTTCCGGTTACGTCATTCAAAATCTGGTTTGTAGTCAAATACGATTATAAAAGTTCGGTTCGTTGGATATATATACATAATTGGATTTATATATGTATTCGAGAGTCACCTTAACGACATCGTCGAGGCCTCGAGCTTCGTGGAGTAGCTGGGTGCTCTTTTCTTTCAAGACACTGGCAACAAGGAAAACAGAAATGGGGAGGGGGGCTTCGTCGCTTTTTATTTTCATGTTCTCCCTCTCGAACTTCCCGTAATGACGCATTGATCTTGATCTCATTTTGGATTCATTCATGCTTAATGATGGTTCTTCGTACAAATAGAACAAATCGGGATCGTATTCCAGTGCCCACATCATCTGTTCCGGTACAAATCAACCCAGTTTATGAGTAAAATACACCGGATTTTGCCGAACGTTTGATACATGTTTGGACATCAGTGTCATACCTCCCATAGATACAACGAATCACAAAACGAGAACTCTCGACGGAACAAAACCATTAGCATTCGAACAGCAAACAGATAGTCTCCTCCACCAAGTGTCTCTGTAAACCAAGTATGAGAAAATTCACAAGATATTATCTTTTGTTGATCCGGTTCTTCATTTCTTTTTCGATGTTTCGATATTCAACCTCCATGTATGATGCAAATTCGAACTTGAGTTTGAGTAACGTAACAATGTTGAACGCTAGAGAACGAATACAAATAAATTTCGTTTCGTACCTAAGTGCTGATGAAGTTTGGGATCGATAACTTGAGTTACCATAGCCAAATGACTAAGCTGTGACTCTACCCCAACAGAGCTTTCAGTGCATCTGAAGTTCCCTCTCTGTAAGAAGCAAAATCAGCACACACTAAGAAGAAAGCATGGACAACGATAAAATCGAAAAACGTATGCAACGACGAGTATCCATATCCATCACATATTCAAACATACATATGCCAGATACATACCAATCTGCGCATCATACGTTCGAAGCACCAAAATGCATCGGCCTCATTATCGAGAAGAATTATCATGGGGGAGGCTAGATCACTCATTCCTGCTCAACATTGTTTAATGAAGCAATCAAACATCCCAAAGAAAGAAAATGATGAAATTTCGTCACTCACCTTGACAATATCCAACATCCCTATCTATCCAGGCATAAACAGATAGAATATCCCAAAGTTTAGCCAAATTTTCTTGCTTTTCATAGAACACTAAAGTCCTGTCGGTCCGCTTAACATCGAGACCTAACGAACAAAATCGTGTTAGAAACAAATCCGTATTCGACATTCGTTCCGAGTCGAATACGATAACATCATCGGCATACCTATTTGATGCAATAGGAGCAGCCAGTTGATTATTCTCTGATCCAAAGGACCTTTACTGAGGAGGTCATTCACCATATCTGAACTAGTAGTTGTAGTACCAGCTGAGAGATTTTTAATTACATATTAGTACCTGGTTTATTTCATTTTCACCAAAATAAAATCACTTTAAAACCAGTAACTTGCCTGCACTATCTGCCTCTTGAAGCACCAAAGGCTCTTGAATTGGCTGACCGTCTTCGTTATTACCGGGGCCGTAATAAATTGACCGCTTCCGACAACAGGGAAGATTTCGTGACAAACACTCTTCCATTGATCATAATGCTCCCTGAGATAAACATGCGAGATAACTTGTATGTCATTACAGATTCTGATGATTTTCCGATATAAGATTGGAGGCGGTAAGACATCGACCTTCGTTCCTTCCGCAGCTGCTCCCTTTCTTCGTACGTGCTCCGAGGATCGAAGCAGCCTAGAAGGAACTCCCAAACTTCTCCTCTAATCGTTGGATGGATCCCCTGTGTTTGCCAAAAACTCCCCAATAAGCATAAACATGTACATACACATGCATTTAAACAAACATAAACAGGACATATGTTGATGCATTTGATTTTTATGGATGATTGATCTCCGAATTAAACATGATATTCGAGTTTGAAACTGATCAACAACCGATTCGAGCACTTACCCCACGATGGATTCGACCTAGAGTTTTGCCGATATCCAGCTGCCCATCTGGAGCAAATGCAGCTTGCCATTTCCTCACACTTAGAGTTTTACCAGGCTGCATAAGCAAATCAAGAGGAAAAACTCATATTTTTTGAATCACAGAACCATTATTGTCATACATACATCCATACATACACACAAATACATACAAATTTAGAAACAAACCCTGATCTTAAATTTGGTTTAAGGCGCATCAGTGCATTCAGGCCAGACCTCATACTAAGAATCAGCATGTTCTTTATTGAATCACACATTATCATTACACATACATACATACATACATACATGCATACATACACATACATACATACATACATATACATGCATGCATACATACATACATGCAAATTTGGAAACACACCTTGATCTTAAATTTGGTTTCAGGCACAGTGCATTCAGGCCGGACTCATACTAAGAATCAGCAGGTTCTTTATTGAATCACAGCACCATTATCGTTACACATACATGCATGCATGCATACATACATACATGCAAATTTGGAAACAAACCTTGATCTTAAATTTAGTTTCAGGCACAGTGCATTCAGGCCGGACCTCATAATAAGAATCAACAGGTTCTGCAGGAGCCCCCCACATTTACCAAGAAAATTCCTTTATGCACATCCAAAAAAGAAATCTTTGTTTTTGTTTTTTTAAAGCACCCAAAGTTGGAGCTTTTTGAATAGAAAATGAAATACCCAGAAAGGAAAATTCAAAGGAAAATGCAGGGAAAGGTTGGAGAAAAAGAAAATGGAGAGAGCCCCAGCCAAGTATTAGATATTCAAAAAGAAGAAACGAAACAGAAAAAAGGGGCTCTTTTTTTCAACCTTTTTTGGTTAATTATGGTTTTTCCATTGTTGCCATCTCACAGAACATAAGGGAGATGGCAAGAAAAATAGTAAGTAGAAACAAACAACCAGCCGTTTTGTTCGTTAATTTTACCGGTCTTGCCTCTTCTTTCTACGTCTTCATTCTTTTGTCTAAATTTAACAGCCATTGGAATTTGACAAGACGAGAGATTGTTGTTGTTGTAATACATGTCATGTGTACGTAAGTAATAATGTGACATATATCATATTTTTAAAGTAATGATGTGTCATACGTTATGTGTTTAAAGTGATAATAAAATATATCTTATGTATACAAGTGTGACATGACATATAACACATTATTACTTTATATACATGTCTTATCACATTAAAGACAAACGTTAAACGTTAAACATTAATAAAGTAATTGCTTTTATCCCGTATGACATTTTATCTCAAAATTAAATATTAATAATAAAATACTTAAGAAATCAAAATAATTATTTTGTCAAATATTAAAGGCGAATTTAACATTATACCATTAAAAAATTGGAGGTTATATTCCTATCATATCTCTTGTACTCATGTCTTAATATAGCAAAGTAGCATACCAACTAAGCTCAACAAAATTGTGCAATCTACTTATCTTGAAGCCCTTGTAAACCTTTTGAAATTTATTGATCCGCCACTGATTATTATACGATTGTTATATTAGTGGCGGATTTAAAAATATTTTTGAGGGAAAACACATAT